TTTTTTTTTTTTTTTTTTGCTGTTTTTTTTTTGCACTCCATATCTCGTCCCAACAACGAAATCGATACATTTTTCTGTATTCTATATATTTCCCAAAGACTAGTAGCTTCGATAACATTATTATCTCTCATAATACGCATATACAACTTTACCATTTTTCATACCGTTCTACGCTATATATCTTATTCGATAACGTTGTACGACGAGACAATGTTTGCAAAAATCCTTCCTGTCCTTTCCTCTGTTTATTCACAATTTGCTCCTTCTCTCTTCCACACAAAAATGAGTCAATACGCTTCTTTTGGATAAACTTAATGCCAGAAACTGAGTAATTCTCACAACTCGACCGTTTCCTTTCATTAAGGGCCCGTGTATGAGTATGGCAATGCAATATCCTAAGTTAATTTCACATAAATTTACTAATTTTTTTACCTTCGCCATTATTTTCTCTTCGTTATTTTTTACTTCTTTTCTCTCTCTCTCCCTCTCTCTCTCTTTTTCATACACACACACACATATACACACACACTCTCTCTCTAATCCCCCTCTCCCTATTCCTCTCTTTTAAGATTGACACTCTCCTTGAATGTTCAAATTCAAAATTTTTTTTCGACGAGTGGCAATAACGGGTATTATATTCAGCGACCAACACATGAATCGATCCCTTAGGAAAGGATACGGTCGAGAGTGAGATTTTTTCGTGTTCGAACTTTCGAATCAGGCATAACAGCTGTGGCGGTGGCATTGGCAGCAATGTGCGGTCGCATTGGAACAAACAGGTCACGTCACGATTTTCGAGGAGATAATAAGGAAATAAGGATTCGAAAAAGGACGATGACATTTTTGATGAATGTGGAAGTAAGAAAGAAAAAAAAGGAAAAAAAGGAAATACAAAGAGGAACGAAATGAGATATAATAAAATGGAGAAATAAGGGGATAATTCAAGATAGAATGGGATGATTGATAAACGGAATGGAAAAAAAAGGGAAAAAATGACAAAAGAGAGGGAAAAGGTGAAGGGGAGAAGAAAAGAAGAAAAGAAGGAAGAAGGAAACGAGGTACGCGAGGGACGAAAGGACAGGCGAATGGATAAATCGATCTCGGGTGGATGGATGGGTGAGCACTTTAAGGGACGGGGGGACGATAGAGAATAGATGTTCTTATTAGGTTAGAAAGGACTTAAGCTTAGGAAGGTTAGTTATCTCCACCCTCCTGTGCTTCGTCCGCATCACCCTGCGTGTCACTGGTCCAAAGAGTGAGGTTGTCGCGTAAAAGCTGCATAATTAGCGTGGAATCTTTATAGCTGTCCTCATTAAGTGTGTCCAACTCTGCGATCGCATCGTCGAACGCCTGAAATGATTATATAAATATTAAAATTTTAATAAAAGATTCGATCTCAATTTCGTTTTTCCTTTCACTTCTACACGATTCATATGAATCTATCCAGCAATCGCGGCCAAAACTATAAGAATTCGCATTCTTTCACAATCACGCGAAGTCATACATTCGTGCAAAGCATTAATAAATTTTTATTAGAGATAGGAGATGTTGCGAGTATGTGGATATTAAATGCATATGATGCGGAATGGTTACCGATACAGTGGAGACTCATTACAGCATTATCACACTAAATATTGAAATAACTTCTTTTTCCTTTTTTTAACAGGTTAGTATGCACTCAAAAACATAGCATTTACCGCAGTACAGTATCACGACACACTGATAATCAATAATTAATAGTGAAAGATGCATTTATTTGTTTAACATCAAATAATCATCCAATCAAGCATCAAACTGTCCATTATCCCTAACCTGTTTGGCAAGATGACAGGCTCTAGCGGGAGAATTAATAATTTCATAATAAAAAACGGAGAAGTTGAGAGCAAGACCGAGCCTGATGGGATGCGTAGGTTGCATTTTTGATTTTGCAATATCAAAGGCTTCTTGATACGCTTTCTGTGAATCCTCGACTACCGCTGTAACGCAAACCGAGAAAGCCAGATTCCAATTTTCATAAATTTCAAGATGAAACTTAACTCTTTTTTTTGAGATAAATCTATGAGGTTGTGATGTGTATATGTGTGTACATAGGAAGGAACAGGAAGAAAAGGAAGAAAAAATAATTATTCATTTCTTCTACAACACACTGTCGCGAGTATGCATTATTTACGATCGTAATCGATGAAGAATCAACGAAAATTTAGAAGAGCACATCGACAAGTTATAAAAATAGAAGGATCATCTTCCCATAGCAAGATAAAATAAAATCATATTTGTTTGCCGCCACTGCATCACCTTCCTACTGCATCTCTTCTTGCGATTGCTGTAAATTATCGACATCATCCTCGTTTCTATAAATTATACCTGTTTGGCCAGCTGGCAGGCCTTGTCTGGTGAGTTGATGATCTCG